TGAGGTTTCTTTTTTTAAGGTTATGACTTTTCATAGTCAATGAGGAATGCAAATGATATATGTTAATTAAAACCAAGTTATAATAACTTTCATGCAGTGCTATGCAGAGTACCTTCACATACACTTTTATGTTTGATAATGATATAATAATACATCGGGAAGATTCCTGCCCCGCCCCCCGCCCCTTTATATATAAAAGAAAGATGTAGTCCACTCTAGGCAGTACTCATAGGCAACCAGCAGGATCAAAGAGACATCATCCCTTTGACTTCCCTGCCTAACTGGAATCAGAGGTGCCATTTCTACAGCCCTCTTGGCCAGCTTTTAACTGGGCTGCATTTGGGGCAGTTACTTTTACCCTTCTTCTGGCCCCTGTTGATAGTCCAAAGCTTGCTTTGTCAGTTTTACAAACAGTGCTGGTTTTAGGTGTTTTGTTTTGGGGTTTGACGGTGGCCCCTTGATTCATCAGACTATTGGAATGCCATCTAGAGTTTTTAGTAGTTACCCCCAAGTGTTATTTTCATTTTAGGCAAGGAGGAAGCTGAGGCTGACTGTTCAGGATTGTCTTGCTGGCGCATGGCAGAGCTGGAACGACCTGGGGCTGACTTAAAAGCGCCATCCATAGTCCTAATCCAAGGGTATAGATGTCTCTGCTCCCAAGTATCCCCCAGACTTCATCAGTAGCAACTTCTGAAGTCTGAAGGCCTCTGACCTCCCTGTTGGGCACAGAGGATTGTGCTGATAGGGTTGGAACTGTGGTCAAATGTTCACTCAGCTCAACTGAGAACGTCTCCAAGGCCTGCCCTCCTGAGGGCTGGTAGAGATGGATCTGAGGGCCTCGGGGCAACTTGAGCTTATGTAGACCTCCAGTGACCCCACCTATGGGATAGAAGCTTCTCTCCTGAACTCATTGTACCTTCTTTGTGTGCCTTTTAAAAATTTAGGGGTAACATGTATATTATCAAGTGTGAAACAGATTGCCAGTCCAGGTTGGATGCATGAGACAAGTGCTCGGGGCTGGTGCACTGGGATGACCCAGAGGGATGGGATGGGGACGGAGGTGGGAGGGGATTCAGGATGGGGAACACATGTAAATCCATGGCTGATTCATGTCAATGTATGGCCAAAACCACTACAGTATTGTAAAGTAATTAGCCTCCAACTAATAAAAATAATTGGGGGGAAAAAAGGCACCTGCAAAAAAAAAATTTAGGGATAGTTCTTGGCTTCCTTTGTGGCTCAGCTGATAGAGAATCTGCCTGCAATGCAGGAGATCCCACTCCAATCCCTGGGTCAGGAAGATCCCTTGGAGAAGGAAGTGGCAACCCACTCCAGTATTGTGGCCTGGAGAATTCTATGGACTGTGTAGTCCATGGGGTCACAGAGTCGGTCACGACGGAGTGACTTTCACCTTCACAGGGATAATTCTCTGTACCTGTTATATCTGCTTCCCACTCCTCCCTGTAAATTGTCAATTACTGAAGAGGAGGAAGGCGCCTCGCCAGCCCCAAGAGGTCATGCCCATTGTAAGGATTCAGTCTGTGCTTTTAAAGAAGTGAAGGTTGGGGCCTCAGCCCTGGGGGCTGGAGTGCTGAGGGTGGGCACCTCCTCTGTGCTGCATATCAGCCCCGTTCTGCTCTGTGCGTAAATTCACAAACATGAGTAGATGACAACAGAAAATGGTGTTAGAGCAGCAGGAATCGGCAACTTTGCACAGGAAGCTTTGGAAGATGTTGTTTACTGTTGTCTGCCTGCAGTTGGGACAGAATTGAACAAACAAAAGGAATTTGGTGCTTGGGGCTGTGGGGAAAGCTGCACGTGAACTCTGTTCTCTTCTATTAGGAGAAGTCACTGAAACGAATGAAGCTCTTGCCAAAAATCCAGGGCTTGTCATCGCATTTTGTTGTGAAGGTAGTTGGCTAATCAAGATGACACTCAGTAACCATTCAGAACTAGATGAGCTAATTCAGATGAAGAAGCTTCTGAGAAATACATAATCTATTGAGAAGTGAAAATGAAACCTCTAAATAATTTGAAACAATTTAAATACTAAATAAGTGAACCTTACTCCAAGTTTCAGCCTTGGCTCCTCCTGTTAGGAATTTTCTTTCCCCACATCCCGAGCACCCTTTTTCTCTACCCAGATCAAATGGTGGCAGAACTCAATAGTGAACCTTTGAGAAAATGAAATCCCCTGGAAGCACAGGGTGAAGTAATGACACTTGATTTTAGACTGTGTCACATTGGGCACGCCCCTGTCCTTGTTGTGACCTTCCACTTCCTAAATTAGAATGGGGGGGGGGGAAGTTCACAAGTGGCCCTTTTGGGGAGGGTGTAATAGTAACCTTGAGCCTCCGTTGTACCTGTCCTATGGGGACAGCACAGTGGTGCCGAACGGTGCTGCCCAGGGAGCGTGGTCCCTGCCAGGCCTCTGGGCATTTCCTAATTGAAAAAGTGACTCGTGTACCTGGAGGAGGGGGAAGGTCATGGGAGTAGATTGGGGAGGCCATGTTATCATTCCCCTTTCCATGACCTTTGTTTTTCCCAAATGCTTCTCAAAGAAATAATAAAATGTTATCTACCCAATTTAAGTTGTTCCCTGTTCCACCCTGCATTCCACCCTTCCACACACACAGATTTTTTTTTTTTATGCTTTGAAAGTAGTCATTGAGATTAGTAGGGACTGGAGTAATGTTTGGTTCTCATCAAGATGAGCTAGTATTATTGTTTTACTTGTAGGGAAGAACTGAATTGCATAAGCAGCCTGGTCTTCTGGACAAACAGTGCCTAGCAAAGCAATTAAAATCTTGAAGGAAAAGAAATATCTCTTGTTAGTACTTCCCCTGTCTCTTTCACAAATCTGTTTTAAACTTTCCCCACCCTTAGTATGCCATGAATTGATGGAGAAAGGGGAGGGTTATTAGGGAGCCTCTATTTCCAGCTACCTTAAGCATTGAGAACTGTGAAGCTTCAGGCAAGGGGTCTGTTTTTGTAATTGGGGATAGAACTTTGGAACATATCCAAGTCTTAGCTGATCTGATAACTCTCTCTCCCTCTTTCAGAGTGTAAAATGTTGAAAGCCAGAAAATAATCAAAGCCTACAGATGGTGAGGCAGAGGGATTTTAACTCTGATTTTCATATATTTAAATTAAATATCTTTTAATGATACTCAACTTTGCTTAGAGAATTTGTGGACCGGATTTTAAAAATCAATACAAAGTGACCACGTGAGTCTTTCGAGCTCCCTAGGCAGTGTGTTTAATATAGTTTCAGTGTGTGTGCGCATCTTCATTAAATGTATCAAGGAAATCCAGTGGTCCGTGGTGAGGAGGGCGGAGGGGGCAGCCATTTTTTTGGTTTGTGTTGTCTGTTTGCTCCCAGGGTGTGTGATGATTTTCCATTTTAACTCTGGCAACAGGGCTCTACCAGACAGCCTCTCACCAGTGTGGTTGCTCCATAGTGGAGAGAATGTCGAGAATGTTGACTATCTTTAGCTCTGCTTCATTCTTAACAGATAAGATACAGAAGCTAAAGGACACTGAAAAAATTAATCTGCAGGGAACACTGTAAATGTAACCACACAAGTTGAGCAATGTGAATACTGTACATGTCCTTATGTCTTGGCAGCACGAACTTGAAGTTATGATCTCTTTAGAGTCTTAAGAGGGTATTTTCAAATTCAAGTGATTATTTATTTACAACCATATCTGCTGTAAGGTATCTGTATATTTTGATTTTTTTATTTTTAACACAGTATAGTTTTAATCTAGACAGTGTTTCTACTTACTGCTTTAGTAGCTGGTGTACTCCTGAAAATTAGAAATGAATAAGGGAGAGCCATGAGTGAACAGAAATTGCACCACAGAGCACCCATTGTAAGAAAATTGCTAAGATCGCCTTTCTTTGCCCTTCTTAGGAAATGGTGGTGGTTGCAAACAGTTTGTGGGATGGGGGCCTCTGGAGTGAGGGATCTTCTGCTCTGGGAACCACCCTTAGGAGCACTAGGTTCCGGCTTTGTGTAGCTGAGCGCAAGCATTTTCAACAGGAGGTGGGGGAGTGGAACAATCTAAATTTAAACTATGGAATCAACGTTTTCTTTAAAAATTGTTCCAGTTTTCAAGAGGCGTAGGTGGATCCTGTGAATTGTGTGATAATGCACATGCTTCTCCTATATCCTGCCTCTGTCAAAACATTTCCAGGGACTTTTCATCTGGGGGCTTTATTCTCAGGCTGCAGATTGGGGTGGGAACTCCCTTTTTTGTTTTTCACTTAAAGCATTTGAAGGACTCTTGGGCTGACTTCTTTTTTTAAATAAGGTAAAAAAAAGTTAGGACTCTTAGGCAAGCCCTAAAGGTATTATATTTAAAGTTGATATGTAATGACTTCTTTGCAAAGATAAGAATTAAACATGATAATAAAGTCATTAACATTTAGGTGTATATCATTTAGTCCTCTCAAACATCTAAGGGAATGGGCATCATTATCTCCATGCTAGGAAAGAGAATGGTGCAATTTCAGAATCAGTGATTTGCCCAAGGAGACACAGCTGTTAGTTGGTGGAGCCCAGGATTTGATGTCTGATTCAGAGTACAAGTGCGTAAGTTTAGTGTATTATACTCTAAGTTAGTGATGTGAAGATAGTTTCGTCTTTCAGTGGGGAAGATGAAGGGCCATGGTGTGGAAGTGTTGACAGCACAGCCCTCTCCCCTGCCCCCCACCCCAGATGGAAGCAACTGGTAGGGGCCATTCTGAGTCTTGACAAGACCCAGGGCACTGGTCTTAGTGACCTAGGGTACAGATGGCCTGTCTTGAGCTAGAGATGGCAGTATTCTGGATAATACTGGACTGTTGTTGAGTATGCATCATCAGCACATATATTTCCATGGATATTAGCCCAATGACTCTTCAAGATGCTCGCCTCAAACTGCTGAAAATAAACCTTTAATTTTGAGATGCTGTTCCTAATTCACAATCACACCTTTCCCTCCTTCCTCTATAGGTTGGACGTGATAAATATGAACCGGCAGCCGTTTCCGAGCATGGCGACAAGAAAAAGGCTAAGAAAGAGAGGGATATGGACGAGCTGAAGAAAGAAGTTTCTATGGTAAGTATCAGCAGGAAGGGTGCTTTCTGTTCTTAAGTATGAATTGTATCTTACATCCTTTGAGTGTGTGGTGCCCCTCCCCCCAGCCATTCTTCAGTCAGATTTGCTTCATTTTCAAAAGAGAGATTATATATAGCAGTCCTGCAAATGTTACTGAATTGTAGAGGTTGGTATGGAAAATTTTCATTGTGAAAGCTGTCAGCAGGTTGGACAAGTTATTCAACACGCTGTTGTAACCAAAGGTCCACAGAGGAGCGGTTGATATCATGGGCCTTTACTTCTGTGTTTCTGAATCATACTGAATGTAGGGAACTTCCACCTCTTCAGGCGGTGGAGGCCTCCATGGATGCAGCCTGTCTAGAATCTGCCTGGTCAGGCTGTGAAGGCCCCGGTCATACCGCTTGAACCATTCCCTAGTGAAGACCACTCAGTAGGAGCTCTGTGGTCACCAAGCCGTTGGCAATGGTGAGAGTATATATACAAACTTGTGTTCTGAGCCTAATGATAGTGAGGGATGATGCTGATGCTTTTTTAATTCTTTTTTTAGTGATAAAATGTTTAATTCTTTTCCTTTTGTTTTCCCTTAGGATGATCATAAACTTAGCCTTGATGAACTTCATCGCAAATATGGAACAGACTTGAACCGAGTATGTTCTAATTTTTATTTGTTACATAGAATTCTGATCTTTCCCATCACATTTTCCCCTGGTATCACAGGCCTCACCTTGGCAACTCCAAAATATTGATAGCTACCGTCCATATCATGTCTGCTATGTGACATGCACAGAGCTTGGGCTCTTCTATGCTGTTTTACTATTTTGTTTCCTCGGAAACTTTTTGAAAATCGTCATTATTCTCCCCATCTTGTAGCAAGTGACAACCAACAAGTAGGAGCTCCGGGATTTGAAACTGAATAGATCCAAGGTCATGCTGTGTGGTCACAAATGTTCCGTTGATTCTTTGGCATTGTTAAATTGAGTTGAAAATTTCAACTAGTTGAATTCAGATTTTTGTATTTTTTATCAGCTAGCTCATGGTAGTAGGTCAGAACCTTGGTTTATTCTATCATTTATTGGGAACTTTTTTTTACACAGTTCAAAGAAACTTCAGTAAAATATGTATTGTATGTCCTTGTTATCTAGTGGATTTTGATATTAACTTTGCCACAAAAAACATAGAAGTAAACAATCGGGGCAGGGGGGAGTTTGTTATTTTCTGGACAGTCACTAGTAAGTCCAAGGAATGACTTGAGTGCCAGCTATGATGGAGCTGTTGTTTCAGTAAATTACCAACAAGCCCTGAGCAGTCTGGGGCCTTACGCTCTGAGAGGAGGCCTGGTGCTAAGACCCAGCAGGCAGTTGTTCTCTGAGCAGCTCACGTGGGTTATCTCACTGAAGTTTACACTAGGTTCCTGTGACGTGTGTTCTCCGCAACCTAGGTCACTTTCTCACACTGTGGGGCTGTTGTCTTGTACAATGGGGTTAATAAAAGGGCTGGGTAAAGGCTGTGGTGAGAGTTACAGTTAACTAGAAGTACTGGATTCAGTGCCTGATACGCAGAGACAACTCAGATGGCTGGTGTTGGTGGTGGTCATTCTGTCCAGGGAGCGAGTTGTGAACTTGAGGCAGAGGAAGGTCCTGAAATAAGTCCGTGTGGACCCCTTAGGTGTTCTTGTCCCTTTCCCCGTATTCCCTCGTTAATTCCAATATTAAAAATAACTTGAGAATAAAGTATATGTACATGCTTCAGGCAAACATGCGTTTTATGTCTTGTGAAAGTGACCACGTTTTCCCCTCATCGTGGGAGCCGTGTGTCTCTTGTCTGCTGTCACTGCATCCTGGAACAGCAGGGCCTCAGTACAGTGGGCTTTTCTTCCAGTGAATACTTTTTTTTTTTAAGTTTATTTATTAATTTTTTGGCCACCCCAAGTGGCTCATAAGATCTTAGTTCGCTAACCAGGGATCAGACCCGGGCCCTTGGCAGTGAGAGCCCACATCTTAATCACTGGACCCCCAGAGAACACCCTCAGTGAACACTTCTCAACTGATGGGTGTCCTGGGGTTATTAGCTCAGATATTACACAAGTGTGACCCCTTCCCCACCAGCCCAGGTGTTTTAATTGCCATCCAAGGAATAAAGTTCTGTACTGAAACTTAGCAGTTAACCCAGTAACAGGATGGATTCTGACAGATTTTTCTTTCCTCCTTTGATATTAATAGTGTTTTTTTCTTTTTCCACTTCCTTGACAGATTCAATACACAGGAAACTCTTAAGCTCTTAATTTACAAAATGGAATCAATTAGTTAAGGTGGATATCTTTTTGGTAAATGCAGTTTGGCATGAATTCCTTCTGTAAAACTCGAAAGAGAGCATATCAGATTCCAACCTGTCCATGGATCAGTTTTAAAAGAATTTCAGTCTTGAGCGTTGTAGGTTCCCCAGGACACTTGGGCCCTTGTTTGCCTGAACCATAGGGTGACCATCAGGATTTTCTAGTTTCTGCGTTGGCCTGGGACTTTTAGTTTCTCTCTGCTTCCTTCTCAGCTGTCAGGTAGCTGCTGGCTTGTGAGCCCTGGAGCAGTTGGTCTTACTTATATTCCTCTGTTTCTCAGGGCTTAACAACTGCTCGAGCTGCCGAGATCCTAGCCAGAGATGGACCCAACGCCCTCACGCCCCCTCCCACGACCCCCGAATGGGTCAAGTTCTGTCGACAGCTGTTTGGGGGGTTCTCAATGTTACTGTGGATTGGAGCAGTTCTTTGCTTCTTGGCCTATGGCATCCAAGCTGCTACAGAAGAGGAACCTCAAAATGATAATGTGAGTCCCATATAGTTCCTAGTGTGGATTGTTAGGTATGTGTAAAGTACTCTCTGCCATCTACTTATTTTCAGTGGCTGCTGGTTACTTGATGGTTTTAAACTCTGGGGAAAGTAACATCAGCATCAATTGCCTTCAGGGCCCATCCGTCTGCCTTCTTCACTTGAGGTTCTCTGGCTCCTGCTCTGTGTTTAGATGTTCTTCCAAGCTGGGCATCTGCCCCGCGCTGCTGCCATGAGTGGGCAGCTCGGCTCAGGCCCTATGCAGGTCCTGTTGCCACTCAATGGCAGAGCATAGTTTTTAACATTGCACACATCCAGAAATGTTGGGGAGCCATTCTTCAAGTCACAAGTTGTTTTGAAAATACCTTTAACAAAACAGGAGAAACACGTCCCCAAGCTAGTGACCAGGTATTGGTGTGACTCCATTTCTGACTTTCTTGGACATTGTCTCTAGGAAGAAGCATGAAGGCATGAGTTTTGTATTTCTGAAGCCTTGATCTCTCTCTCTTTTCTTTAAGTGTCTTTTGTTCGGTCAAAAATTAACTGAATGTTCCCAGTTCCTTACTAAGAGCGGTGCCGTCCTAACTTGTTCGTTCTGTCCCAGCTGTATCTTGGTGTGGTGCTGTCCGCGGTTGTCATCATAACCGGCTGTTTCTCCTACTATCAAGAAGCAAAAAGCTCCAAGATCATGGAGTCCTTCAAAAACATGGTTCCTCAGGTACCTGCTGCTTTTTGTCCTTCCCCATCTGGTAACTCGACAGCACCAAGAGTGTGCACCGATGTGAGGTTAAGGCCTTCCAAGTATTCAGTGGCTCCACCAGAGAGAGAGGGACACCTCTCCCCCCACCCAAGACCAGATCTGTTTTTCTTATACTCCAGAAAGTGAGCGTCTTCCCTCTGAGCATACCACACAATGACAGCATGAAGACTGCTTCTTAGTTAACCTCAGCAAGCTTTTGTTAACTTGTATAAATAAAAAGCTAAATCTTGGTTGTAATGCACATAGTTAAGATTACAGACGGTATTGTAATTTTATAATACCACTGCCTTCCCGGTGGTATCCATTTTTACCTGATGAACTGGTGTAAACTTCTCCCCTTCCAAAAGCAAGCCCTCGTGATTCGAAATGGTGAAAAGATGAGCATAAACGCGGAAGAGGTGGTCGTCGGAGATCTGGTGGAAGTGAAAGGAGGGGATCGAATTCCTGCTGATCTCAGAATCATTTCTGCGAATGGCTGCAAGGTAGGTTTAAGCAGAGCCTCCGTGCTTGGGGCGGAGGGAGTGGAGTGGTCCCGCAGCCCCGGATGAGGCTCATGTTGCTCACGTGACACGTTTGATTTTTCTCACGGGCAGGTGGATAACTCCTCACTCACGGGAGAGTCAGAGCCACAGACCAGGTCTCCGGATTTCACCAATGAAAATCCCCTGGAGACACGGAACATTGCCTTTTTTTCAACCAACTGTGTTGAAGGTAGGACCATTTTGAAGCACTCTTCAGCACGGTGTGGCATTTATCTTAGGTTTTAATGACAACCACCAAAAAAAAAAAAAAAAACCCACGGCCACAGTTTCTTTGTTTTATGGGTCCCATTTCTGACCACCTCAGTCAGACACAGCAGAAGCAGTTGACAGGCTGGCAGGAAGACCCAGTAAACCTCGTGGCTGTCTTCCCTGTTCCCTCTGCCTCACAGGTACCTCTTGTGTTGGCAGCGCTAAGCTCAAGTAAGGTTTGGAGCTGTGGTCCTGCTAATGGAGTGAAATCCCTTTGCCAGAGTCCATATAGTTTAAAACAAACAGCGTATACCACCAAGGATGTGGCCCTTCAAATTATGGTGTTTCTTCTCTTTTTTTTCAACCCTGCTGTGTAGTTGTGCAAATTCTGCAGCTTCACCGATAAAATCGGGTACGATTTCCCGATTTCTCTCTCTTTTTTTTTAAGGCACTGCACGTGGCATTGTTGTGTACACTGGGGACCGAACCGTGATGGGCAGGATTGCGACTCTGGCTTCTGGGCTGGAAGGGGGCCAGACTCCCATCGCTGCAGAAATTGAACATTTTATCCACATCATCACGGGTGTGGCTGTGTTCCTGGGCGTGTCTTTCTTCATCCTTTCTCTGATCCTTGAGTACACCTGGCTTGAGGCTGTCATCTTCCTCATCGGCATCATTGTAGCCAATGTGCCGGAGGGTCTGCTGGCCACCGTCACGGTAAGAGGCTGGGGGAAGGTGATGCTTGCCCGCTCTGAAGGCCAGCCTCCATGGGAGGCTCATCCGTTGCCCTCTCCTCGGGGGCTGCCAACTTGTGTTTTTGTTTTTTTTTCTTGCATGTGTTATATGTGGGTTTTCTTCAGCACCACCTGGGTAGGGTTAGACAGTGAGAAGAGCCCAGCACATTTTTATGTGGAAGATAGTAACCCAGAAGCATACATTTTTCCCCCCTTGAATTATCACATGATCCAGAACAGTGTAGCCCAGAAAGGAGAAGAACTTAGGGCTGAGTGGGAAAAACAGGGTATGGTAAATCCTGACTATTTTCACTTTGCTTAATAGCCTTTTTGGAGGGGGTGGAGGAAGCCCCCTGTACACATGGGCCGTTATTATTTCAGTTTCTGACTTCAGAGGAAGGTTAGAGAGATTTAGTTTTAAGAAAGATTTCTGTGGGGGCAGGGGTAGCCAAAGTTCCTGTAGAGCGGCCGCCTGGCCATTTGAAGTATTAATAATCTGTTCCGATGCTTTAGGTGTGCCTGACCCTGACTGCCAAGCGCATGGCCAGGAAGAACTGCTTAGTGAAGAACCTGGAGGCTGTGGAGACCTTGGGATCCACGTCCACCATCTGCTCAGACAAAACTGGAACTCTGACCCAGAACCGGATGACAGTGGCCCACATGTGGTTCGACAACCAAATCCATGAGGCGGACACGACAGAGAATCAGAGCGGTAAGGCCGGCCTGCCCCCGCGGCTCAGCTTCCCCGGCTCGCAGTGTATTGTCTGGTAGAGCGTCAGTGGGTTTTTGATGTTTCTGGTTTGGGGGTTTGGTTTGGTTTTGTTTTTTGCATGTCAGCTCAAGCATGGTTGGAAAAATGACTGAAACCTGACTAGTTAATGGGGAACGGAGATGTGTCATTTCACATCTTTATGGGACTTCAGTACAAAGCTAAGCACATTGTTCTTGTCGCTTTTTGCCTCCACCAGGTGTTTCATTTGACAAGACTTCGGCCACCTGGCTTGCTCTCTCCAGAATTGCAGGTCTTTGTAACAGGGCCGTGTTTCAGGCTAACCAGGATAACCTGCCTATCCTGAAGGTATGCTCAGCAGTTCTGTTAAGATTGCCTTCAGGTTGTACGCATGCCACACAGGAGCCACCTCCTGAGTGTTCTCCTTAGAAAGCACGTGACTTTTGGGGGTTGTAAAGTCGTCGTTTGTTGTAAGACACTTGGAATGGCGTGTAACTCTTGGCTGTGTGTAACCTGAGTTGTATTGCCTGTAGACCCCCAAGTACTAACAGTACCCTGTGGTCAATAAAGATCAGTAAAGGGGGACTGTATGGGAAAAACTGACTAAAGTGGAAGGGGGGGCAGGCAATCCACCTAACTCATAAAATCCAGCTTGACTTCCTCTTGAGTTTATATCCTAATCACCTCACCTAGTGGACAGTGAGGGCTACTTTTGTGACTCGATAATCGTATTTGCATATTAGCATACAGCAGATTCCAGTCAATCCCTTAAGCCATTTCTTAAAATAGCTCAGCTATTTCTCTTATCTTATTTGTTCTTAGCTTGCTTACTAATGATGCAAAAATAAGCTAAGCTCAGCCTCCTGGAATTCGCATGAAATTTGCAATGACTAAGATATTACTGTGTGGCCCAGTAAAGACTTGGTCCCAGAAAGGTCATGAGCTATACAAGGTCCTTGAGGCCGAGAGGAACTGGGTGGAGCCCTTGGAGTGGCTTACTCTCCCTGAAGCTGCCTCTGGTGTATCTGGGTAGAAACTGTGTTGTTCAAGAGAATATGGCTCAAATGGAACTGAGATGACTTCTGTTGTGATAATGGGGTTCCTTTATTCTTTAAAGGAGATTCTTGGCATTGAATCAATGTTGATTTGGGGATGTTGTTCATCTTGGGATAAAGCTTGAGATGTCTGCTTCATCGTTTTCCTTACCTCAAAGTAGAAATTTTCTAGGCTTTGAGCACAGGGACTCACAAATATCCCACCTTTTCTCATTTCAAAGCTCCAGAAAGATAGCATGAGATGTTATTTCTAAGTTATTTCAGGGGTCTGGGGCCATATTATATTAATGACATTATCCAAAAAAAAAGGCCTACAGCCCTATTCTGCTTTGATAATTGTCCTTTATTAAAGTGATCCTACTTACTTCCTGCTTCTTATGAAACCTGGCCACATTTTTAAACAGAGCGCCTGTATTTATAAGGGAGCATTAATTTGCTCATTTGCACTTGTGGTCTGGTGCGCCAAAGTTGTAAAATATTCTTCTGTGTGAAAGTTGGGTATAGCCGAAAATATTTTTTAGTATGTCAAAATGTGTCACAGTATATGGCACACAAAATGTTACCTGAAGTGTGGGCTTTAACTAAAATGGTAGTTGATGGATGTTAGTGTTGGAACTAATAATAACTTTCAGTTTGCATCATTCAGGCCCAGATAATCCTGCACAATTAAATTATGTTTAGAATGTAAAGTCCTGCTTAGTCCTTGACATAGACCACTTGCCCTCCATCCTGAGAACCCAGGGCGTTTTCTTCTTAAATTGCAGGGCAGTGAAGGGGACTGTAACTATTTCCATTCTCACTCTGTATTTTCTGATTCATAACTAGAAATAGGTGGTTGGGAATAATACTGTCTTTGAGACTTCTCTGCAGGCCCAGGGAAGGTTTAAGGCTGGAGTGGGTCAGAAGAGTGTGTCATGCCTCTCCCAAGGGTCAGTGACGCCTTGCACCAGTTTGGGTAGGGTGAGGAGGGCAGGCGGCCAGGAAGAGTTTGGAATTTGAGAATAAGGACTGTGATGGGTGGTCACACCCCAGAATGGTGCTCTTCCTTGCCCACCTCCCCTCTCCTCCTGACAGATGGAAAGACAGTCCAAGCTTTCTCCTGGGTTTCAGTGGTGTAGTGCTGAAGTGCTACAGGGTGAAGCGCTTTCAGGGTGACTAATGGAGACATCTGTTCACAGCGGGCTGTAGCAGGTGATGCATCAGAGTCTGCTCTCCTAAAGTGCATTGAGGTCTGCTGCGGTTCTGTGAAGGAGATGAGAGAGAGATATGCCAAGATCGTCGAGATCCCATTCAACTCCACCAACAAGTACCAGGTCTGAGTTTCTGGGGTCTCATTGCCAGGGGGCACGGAAAGGAAGGACATAGGCTGGAAAAAAGAGCCATCCACCCTTTTGGAATTTTCCAGGTTTAAGTGCTTTCTAAAAACGAATTAGTCACACTCTTTATGAGTTCTTAAATTTGACATCTTACTCTCTGTCCATGTAGAAAATTCTAATTTATTTGACCCTTAATAGGATAAATGGAGCCCCCTCTTTCTAACGTGTTGTCCAGGCCCTTTCGAGTTCTCCTTTGTGGGTTGGAGTGGGTGGGGATGGGGGAGAGGGCTGGGCAGAGCTGCAGGTGCTCATGAGTCTGCCAGTCCCTGTTCTGAATTTTCTTTGGGAAAATTGTGTACATGAACATGTGTCAGAGATGCAGGAGCACCTTGCCATGCTCATTTCTTCCGTAGCATTCAAAAGTGTGCTACAGGGTGTGAGACACTAAATTCAGAAATAGGGGATCTTGTATCTTTCAAAACAGTTACTAGGGACTTACCTAGTGCTCCACTGGTTAGGATGTGCTTTCACTGCCAAGGGCCTGGGTTCAATCCCTAGTCAGGGAACTAAGATCCCACAAGCCACATGTTGCAGCCAAAAAAAAAAAAAAAATCTCCCTCCCTGGGCTGTCAGGCCTAGCTGTCTAACGTTTGCATCCTTACCATTCTTCACAGTTGTCCATCCACAAGAACGCCAATGCAGGTGAGCCCCGGCACCTACTGGTGATGAAAGGTGCTCCGGAAAGGATCCTGGATCGCTGCAGCTCCATCCTCATCCATGGCAAGGAGCAGCCCCTGGACGAGGAGCTGAAGGACGCCTTTCAGAATGCCTACCTGGAGCTGGGCGGCCTCGGAGAGCGGGTACTGGGTACGCTGATAGTCCGAGAAACAATCGCAAGTTACCGTGTTAACCTCTGCTTCTTGTTAACTTTCCTTTATTTGCCCCCTTTGTTTGGAAAACAATAAGCGCTGAAGACACTGGGCGACAAAATCCTGCTGGTTTGCCTCTGACTCTGACTTAGACCTTTGGTCTCTGCTGGTCAGTTCTGTTTGCCCAGAATAGGAGAGGGAAAGAGTTGTTGTCTGGCTTTTGTTGCTATGTCCATGATCTGTAAACTTCATGAAATGAAAATTCATTCATTCCTAGAGCATCTAGAATAAAGCCGCTTCCCAGATGCCACAGAATGGCTGTGAATTTACCTGGGCACTTGTGTCACCAGCTTACAGATTAGGTGAATGGTGAACTTGGAGCCTCAGATGCCACCTGTTCCGGATGACACCCACTGTGTCATAGGGGAAGTGACATTTGTCATCTTTTGTACAGATAAAAAAATGGATTACATCATTAATGATGTAATTCCTCTGTTCAGTTGGGTAACTTAGAACTGATTACCTGGTCCCATACTCTTGTTTCTTACCTGCTCTTCAGCCTAACTTGACGTGTCTTAGGTCTCTATTCAACTGAAAGGTCATTCTTAAGTGTTTTGTTTTGTTTTGTTTTGTTTTTCTGTTTCTGCACCTCCACCACCCCCACAGGAGAAGCAGTCTCTCCTATGAATCCACAAAGCATCTGATAACACTTCAAAGGATGTTTTACCCTCCACACAACATCGAAAGAAATGTCTTAAGTATCACGATTCTTACATTAACAACAGTAATACTAGATGATGAACCCTTTAGGCAGTGTATGTCTGATCTGCATTTATCCTCAAAGAAGCTTGGCTCCATGGCCCACACAGCTGCTTAGAGTATATACTTTGGTTAGATGAACAGTGAGAAAAGCCATGGCCTTGGTTTTTTCCCCAGAGAGGAGAGCAGAGACAAGTAATCACATGATGTGCCAAGTCCAAGTAACTGAGGGGGCAAGTTTCAGTTCACTTCTGTTCAATCGCTCAGTCATGTCTGACTCTGAGACCCCATGGACTGCAGCACTCCAGGCTTCCCTGCCCATCACCAACTCCTGAAGCTTGCTCAAACTCCTGTCCATCGAGTCAGTGATGCCATCCAATCATCTCATCCTCTGTTGTCCCCTTCTCCCACCTTCAGTCTTTCCCAGCATCAGGGTCTTTTCCAATGAGTCAGTTCTTCGCATCAGGTGGCCAGAGGATTAGAGCTTCAGCTTCAGCATCAGTTCTTCCAATGAATATTCAGGACTGATTTCCTTTAGGTTTGACTGGTTTGATCTCCTCGCTGTCCAGGGGACCCTCAAGAGTCTTCTCCAACACCACAGTTCAAAAGCATCAATTCTTTGGCACTCAGCCTTCTTTATAGTCCAACTCTCACATCCATGCATGATGGAAAAATCTTAGCCTTGACTATCTGGACCTTTGTCAGTAATGTCTCTGCTTTTTAATATGCTGTCTAGATTTGTCATAGCTTTTCTTCCAAGGAGCAAGGGTCTTTTTAATTTCATGGCTTCAGTCACCATCTGTAGTGATTTTGGCGCCCAAGAAAATAAAGTCTGTCACTCTTTCCATTGTTTTCCCATCTATTTGTCATGAAGTGATGGGACCGGATGCCATGATCTTAGTTTTTGAATATTGAGTTTTAAGCCAGCTTTTTCACTTTCCTCTTACACTCATCAAGAGGCTGTTTAGTTCCTCTTTACTTTCTGCCATAAGGGTGGTGCCATCTGTGTATCTGAGGTTATTGATATTTCTCCCGGCAATCTTAATTCCAGTTTGTGCTTCATCCAGCCTGGCATTTCTCATGATGTACTCTGAATATAAGTTAAATAAGCAGGGTGACAATATACAACCTTGATGTACTCCTTTCCCAATTTGGAACTGAAACTGTGGTGCTCAGACTCCCATTTCTCCACATTAAGCAGAGCCTTGTCCTCTGAGGCTTGCTGCTGGATTCTGTCTGTTGCGTGGTTTCCAGGGACTCTGTATCATTCATAAATGTTCAGTGAAACTCATTTGGTTAGAAAAGTAGAATTTTTAAAAAAGCTTTCCAAACTAAACTGCGGCACAACAAGCTGGTGTCCTACAGCTGCCTCTGTCACTGGAAGTCCTCACAGACTCCCTGCCCTCCTGCAGGTTTCTGCCACTTGATGCTGCCAGATGAGCAGTTTCCCGAAGGCTTCCAGTTTGACACCGATGATGTGAACTTCCCTGTTGATAATCTCTGCTTCGTGGGGCTCATCTCCATGATTGACCCGCCACGGGCTGCTGTCCCAGATGCTGTGGGCAAATGTCGGAGTGCTGGAATCAAGGTACTGCCCCCACCCCACCTTGGCATCCCCTCTTAGCAGCTCTGGGCGCCTGACTTAGTGCCTCTCAGGGTCCACGTGATCGCTGGTGTTTCTCACCTGGAGTATCAATTTCTCATCTCCAAAGCTTTTTAATTACCCCCGGAGAAGGCCAAATGGTGTTAAAATGTTGGTGTAAGCTGCAGGTGAAGAATCGAAAAGTTAAAAAAAAAAAACACCTTTAAGAGAAATGTAACTAAGCAAATTAAAAAGCGCGGAAGACTTGGTAAGGTTTTACATTTTGAAATATTTGCCTTATTCTAAATTAATACTCATCATGCAATGAATGGGCTGTCTTGTTCTCATTTGGTTGGTTTTGGAGGGAACGTTTGGTGTACTACTCTGGGTCTGTCTGAAGTTGCAGACAGTTCAGGTGCGAGGATGCAGTGTGGTTTGTACAGTCTGCCTTGTTACCGGCTGTTAGGCTTATTTCCAATTTCTCATTCTCATGAGTAATACTGCTCTGGAAAGCTTTGTAAAAACTCTTCTCTTACCACTTTGACTGTATCCTTAATGTAATCATAGGGTCAAAAAGAACAGTAATTGATTTGAATTTTTGCTACTTACTGCTTTCCCTCCAAATTGGGCCAGTTTCAGGATGCTGACCAGCAATGTGTGGGCCCTCTTACGCACCAGCATGAGATTTTCATCCTTTCTTGTTGTTGTTGGGTTTAGTAACTTTGAGTATCTTTGTTTGATGGTGTAAAAAGAAACAGATAACTGTTTATCCTGTGTGACTGTGTGCCAAGACAAAATCTGGGTTTTGCTAGGTGTCTTCTGTGAACTGTGTTTGTGTTTTGGGCTAGTGCGTGTTTATCAGTTTTCTATTTGTGTTTCTTTCCCTTTGATATTGCAAGCTGAGTCATCCTTGATATTTATTCTTGCCCACTTGTAAGACTTCTCAAGGTCATTTGCCTGGCAGCTGCATTCAGCCGGTTGTCCTCTTTTTTGCCACAGGTCATCATGGTCACCGGAGACCATCCCATCACTGCCAAAGCCATTGCCAAAGGTGTGGGCATCATCTCAGAAGGTAATGAGACTGTGGAAGACATTGCTGCCCGCCTCAACATCCCAGTGAGCCAGGTGAACCCCAGGTAAGGTGGGAAGGTCAGAGCATTGCTGCCTTGAATGTGTGATGCTGGTAGCTGGGCATCTTCAGCTTGGTTCTACCTGGTTTCCTTCTAGGGTTACTCTGGGTAGGGAAGCCCCTTCAGTGGCAGAAAGCAGCCTTGTTCCCCGGGAGGGTTTTCTTTTTTTTTCCTTTTTTTAAAAAATTTATTTTAATTGGAGGCTAATTACTTTACAGTATTGTGGTGGTTTTTGCCATACATTCACATGAAGCAACCATGGGTGTACATGTGTTCCCCATCCTGACCCTCCCTCCCACCTTCCTCCCCATCCCATCCCTAAAGGTCATCCCAGTGCATCAGCCCTGAACACCTCAGAGAGGGTTTTCAGTAAGAGCAATCATTGTAAGCAACACTTAGATGGTGCTTACTGTTCCAAGCATTTGCTGCAGAGACCCACAGAGGTAGGTGGTGCTCCCAGCTTGCAGAGCAGGGAAGCTGAGGCCGAGTCACGCAGTGCGCTCAGCAGTCGGGCTTCTGAGTTCATGCTGTTAACCCCTTCTCCTTACTGCCCAGCACCTAGCACCTTGTCATTTTCAGATCCACACTAACTAAATGGGCAAGGCACAATGACTCAGGCCAGAAAAGAGAATTTTGGCAATCAAGTGAAATAGATAACTTGAGACAAATTAGTTTTGCTTTTTTAGTGTTTTGTTAAGGCTTAGGGTTACTGCCACTGAACCCTACTTGGGGTTTGGTCTTTCATCAGCTCTGCCACTGTCTAAAACTTAGTTATGTTGTGTCGACGCATCCTGTAAACATGGGGTAAGGAAGGTGAGGGACAGGCCTGCCTCATGGTGGTCGTGAATCTTGAATGAGATAATACATGAGTATGCTTTGTAACCTGTAAAACACTGCACAGGTAATACCTTTTACTTAACGGAACAGTTCCCCCTGGTTTTATGGTGTTATGCTGCCCTGGTGGCTGACTGTAAAGAATTCACCTGCAGTGCCAGAGACCTGGGTTTGATCCCTGGGTCGGGAAGATCCCCTGGAGGAGGAAATGGCAACCCACTCCAATACTCTTGCCTGGAGAATCTCATGGACAGAGGAGCTTGGTGGGCTACAGCCCATGGGGTTGCAGAGAGCTGGATATCGCTGAGCAACCAACACATTACTGCACAGTGAAAGAACTTTTGTTCTTGGTGAAGAAGGGACGGACAGGTGGCCTTTATTTTTTTTTGTTGTTTTTTTTGGTCCTGATTGTAGGGATGCCCGGGCCTGTGTGGTGCACGGAAGCGATCTGAAGGACATGACTTCCGAGCAGCTGGATGACATTTTGAAATACCACACGGAGATTGTGTTCGCCAGGACCTCTCCGCAGCAGAAGCTCATTATTGTGGAAGGCTGCCAGAGACAGGTCGGCACACAGCCGGGGTCGGGCTCTCTCAGGCGCCGCTGACCTCAGTGATTGCAGTTCCAGTAAAAACAAAAAAACAAGGCAACAGTGCTGTAAATCTGAGCCAGCTAGCTCCTCTCTGTCTCAGTATACACGGGCCAGTAAGAAGCTCCAGGCGTAGAGAGGATGGTGACTGGATCATGGTCCTTTAGCCAAGACACACACTCTACTGTGCTGGTCTTCGCTGTGGCCGAGAGTCAGAGCTTCAGCACTCAGCACCAGAAGAGCAGTGCAGGGTCCTGATGTCCACACTGGGGATGGGAATGCCCAGGAGGTTCATCCCATACCTGGGAGAGACCTGGGGTGATGGTGCATAAGGGAACGGGGCTTTCCTGAGTGTCACTCACCCGAGTCAGGACTTCAAGTAGACCTTGTGAACAAGGTGGGGTGTCTCCTGGAGTCTGTTGTTTGGTAATAGCTGTGTGCATTCCTGGCTGAGACAGTTCTAAGTCTAGTTAGAGTCTCAGTGGGAAAGGAGCAGTGTCTAACGAGAGGCGAATGGAGGCTGCACCTCACTGAGGCCCAACCACGCAATTCCTAACCCACATCCCGCCTCCTCCTGGCAGGGTGCCATAGTGGCTGTAACTGGAGACGGTGTCAATGACTCCCCGGCTTTGAAGAAGGCAGACATTGGGGTTGCCATGGGGATTGCGGGCTCAGACGTGTCTAAGCAAGCTGCTGACATGATTCTCCTAGATGACAACTTTGCCTCAATTGTGACTGGAGTAGAGGAAGGTGAGAGTGCTGCATGAAACCTGGTCCAGATGCTGCTGAGCAGTATCCATTTCTGCGTGTGATTTCCGGGCCTTTTCATTAAGCTCTCTCTCCATTAAAAACAATCTTGCTTTCACAGGTCGTCTGATCTTTGATAACTTGAAGAAATCCATTGCTTATACCCTCACTAGTAACATTCCTGAGATTACCCCCTTCCTGATATTTATTATTGCAAACATTCCACTCCCTCTGGGGACCGTCACCATCCTCTGCATCGACTTGGGAACGGACATGGTGAGTGACTGGCACCCCTTCCACACATCGCAGTTGCTCACCGCTGTGCTCTCTGGGTCCCTGTGGCCAGCATATGTCACTCCCGAGAATTTCTTGGCCTGTGTGTGGCAGCCTCAGCATCAAAGATTCAGTGTTAATCATTCTTCAAGACAGCTGTCAATACCTATTTATCCGATAGAACTCTTCCCTTTTGTATCATTTTGCCCTTTTTTTTAAAAAAGAAGGGGGACTTGTAATATCTCTTTATGAAAAACTTTTTTTAAGGGTGAGCAAGAATTTGAGAATGAAGAAAAGAGTCACAACATGAGCTTGCTGGTTTCTGATGACTTAAAATACCTTCTTGCCCCTCCTTCCAGGTCCCTGCCATCTCTCTGGCTTACGAGCAGGCTGAGAGCGACATCATGAAGAGACAGCCCAGAAACCCCCAGACAGACAAACTTGTGAATGAGCGGCTGATCAGCATGGCCTACGGACAGATTGGTGAGCCAGCAGATTTCAAGTATCTGTAGGGGTGGTGTCTGCCTCAGACAGGGTTTCTGAGGCTTAAGAAGTTGGGTAACTTCCAAATCTAAGATGAACCAGGATCTAGGGTAAGGCTGGGGTTTTTTTTTTAGATTCCCTTCCATGTGAGAAGACATCTTTTGCCATCTTCCCAGAAACCTTAGTTCTTTAGACCAGGCAGTTGCAACTGAGCTCATCTGCATTAGAACAGAGAAATGCCCCTGCCCATGGAGCCTTTTGAATGCCAGGCACTGCTCCTAAGAGCTGCAGTATTAACTCAAAGGCAGCTTTTCTGGGGAAATATAGTACTACCACTGATTAGACTCAGCAAACTCTTAACTCTGCACCCAATGGAGTTTGGAGGTTTGGCTGACTGGTCACCACCACATGGCAACTCTGCACCCCCACTCTCCTCACCCCCAGTGCTTGATTTCTGTTCCACTCATGGAACAGAACCAGCTAACAGGTGGTCTAGATGGTGGACAATGAAAATGCCTTTAACAGAACTTCATAAAGCTACCAGCAGCAACTCATTCTTCTAGACTGCATCACTGTGAACACTTGGGTAAAAATGAGACCAATCAAGTACGTTATGGAAATATGGCAAAGATTGATTTAACCATTTCTGACAACAAAGTAATTGGCTGATGGCTAGAAAGGCCTAATTTTGAAGTAGGAAAATGGTCCAGAGTATAGGATGAAATCCCATCCCGAAGAGTTGAGGGCAGTATAGTTGGAGAGAGGGATCCTGGAAGTGGGGGAAGTGGAGGATCAGGTCAGAAAGCACCACATTTATGATTTCCACAGCGGTTCGCAAAAAGGCCATGTGTAAAAGTTTTGAGAGATGGGACAGGAGTCATAATTTTTTTTCAGGAATTAAAAAATGGAGATGTGGGTTTTTACCCCTAAGGGTCATGTCCTGATAGAAGCAGATGACCAAGGAATAGAGGTGGGTGTTTTAAGAGCAAGGGCCAGGTCCCTCTTTTAAGCTCTAAAAAGTGACTCAAAGTGGAACAGGTGTGGGCGAGGAGTGTGCCCTCAGATGCTTTGTACCAGGCCCTGGCATTCAACCAGGCCTCTTTTCAACTTCTCAGGTATGATCCAGGCCCTGGGGGGCTTCTTCACTTACTTTGTGATCATGGCTGAGAACGGCTTCCTCCCAAATCACCTGCTGGGCATCCGAGTGACCTGGGATGACCGTTGGATCAACGACGTGGAGGACAGCTATGGGCAGCAGTGGGTGAGTGAGGGCTGCCCGCCTGCCAACGCCAGACAGAGCTCCGCTAGCACCAGAGGACAGGGCCTCATGGCCTCTGCACATGTGGGCCGAGGGCCAGGCTCATCGGTCTGCCTTGTGCATTTCAGACCTATGAGCAGAGGAAGATTGTGGAGTTCACCTGCCACACGGCCTTCTTTGTCAGTATCGTGGTGGTGCAGTGGGCTGACTTGGTCATCTGCAAGACCAGGAGGAATTCCGTCTTCCAGCAGGGGATGAAGTGAGTAGGCCACAGTCGGGGGGATCTCAACTCAAAGACGGGTCTGGTGATGGATGTCTAAACCCTGTGCTAAATAAAAAGCCCAGAGCCTGACACATTTGACAGAAGTTCAAGAAGCTTGTTTGGGGAGCTAATTCATGAAGTAAAATGTCATTTTGTAGGTTTTTTCATCTGACCTCAGGTTCCTAAGTACAAATACATAAAGACCTATGAAGACATCAACCTGCCATGTAAAGCATAGTAGGGATTCCCCTGGCACTCCAGTGGTTAAGATGTCACCTTCCAATTCAGGGGACGTGGGTTCAAACCCTGGTCAGGGGCTACGTGCCTCATGGGCAAAAAAGACCAAAACATGAAGCAGAAGCAATATTGTAACATTTAATAAAGGCTTTAAAAATTGTCCACATTAAAAAAAAATTTAAAAACAGTGTTAGAAGATTTACTTTTATTTGCAGTTTTTTAACTTCTCTCCCCTCCTTGTTTTTAGGAACAAGATCTTAATATTTGGCCTCTTCGAAGAGACAGCCCTTGCTGCTTTCCTTTCCTACTGCCCTGGAATGGGTGTCGCCCTGAGGATGTATCCCCTTAAGTAAGTCCCTCCTCTTTTAGGTGCAAAAAGTTGGAAATAACCAGCATGGCTTGTTCCTCCCATGGCGCATGTTAGTAGCTGTTTTTTACAGAGCTGTTGGGTGATAGGTACAAGAATTCCTCTGGACTGGGAAACAAAGGCTGATTCAGTGATGCAAACCAGGGTGGCGTTGCTAGGGCCACCCAGGCTCTGACCCTTGGGCTCGCTCACCAGCCAACTGAGCTGAGCGCCTGTCTTGAGGCCAGCTGGGGGCATCCTCAGCTGTGAAGTTTGGGGTCACATGTCCAAATCTTGATTTGCTCACCCAGTGAGTGATGTGCATCACATCGCAAGCCCCTCATCTCTGGGGGCTGCTCTGCTCCCAGAGGAGGATGGTGGAGCCGCAAATCTGAGGTCTTTATAGTCAAGCACTGGTAGTGTCAGGAGATCATGCATAGGTAGAGACTTGGAGGAGGCCAACCACTTGTCTTTGGTCAGAACGCGACTGGCCTTAAACATGGTGAATGACAACACCTTTGACAGATTGAATTTTCACATGCAGAATTTGCCGCAAACTCCCAAGAGTGTTCTGAAGGATTGAGTGTGTTTGTGGTGTCTGTCAACTGGTTCAGGTTAGGCAGCTGTAGCCTCATTAGAATATGCTAAGCCACAGAGAGTGGGACTTTTGATCTGAATGTGTCTCCCCATCCTTGTTCAAACCCATCTGGACTCTCTCTCTCAAGTAGCCTGTTGCCCTCACCACTTCTCCCTGTTCTCATCCCAGAAGTAACCAGACCTTGTGGGTCTCCCTGTCTTCCTGTCAGTGGTGTAAGGGTAGACTGGCATCCAGGGTCTCCTTACTGTGCCAGATGGTCTTCCTAGCCTTGTACCCATCCAGGCTTACTTAAGGTGAATTGAGCACTCCTCCTCTGCCTTGATGTTTGGGAGGCTGTTCCCTTCCCACTCCATCAGCCCTGATCGTTCTTCCAGGTTGCTTCCCTCGGGGCTTGTCCCCATGTGCCCTCGTCTTCTTGGGCTCATGCAGCTGCACCCCTCCTTTGCGTTGTCACTTGTGCACCCTATAGATTATAATCCTCAAAGCAAGGACCACAGTGTCTTTTTCTGGCTTTGTATTCCCAGCCCCCCTGCACAGGGTTGGCACATGACAGGGGCAAGCCTTGCCCAAGCTGAATTCCATCATCTTGGGCCATTGTTGAAGAGGAGGGTAAGAGGATCAGAGCTCTCTAAAAAGGCCAAAACAAAAAGTCTCACAACAGACTGATGCCTCTGAGCATCTTCTGCTGTGACTTGAGAGAGAACTTGTTCCCAGTGGGTTCTACCCAGTGTGGAAGGTGGCTGAGTTAGAAAGGTCCCCAAGTCAAGCGAAGTCATCTTTTAGCACCTGCGGAGGTCACACCAGACAGGAAGAGGGGAAGATGGCAGAGCTCTGCGCTGGGACGGCCTTCCTCCTGTGGTTGCCCTGGGAAGTTGGGAGTCAGTGTCAACCTCCTCCAGAGGCTGCCCAGGGTGCCTGTCTCCAGGCTGGGGACTGTGGCAGCAGCCTCTGGGTCCCCAAAGGCCTCGGATCTCTGCTAGGACTCAGCTGCTTACTCCCCAGGTCCGGGACTCGACGCACTCCTGCCTCTCCTAAACTCAACTGTGAAAGACCAGATTCAGGGGATGATTAAACCAGTCATGACCCACACTGGCAGTTCTTTTATCTTCACATGCCAGGACATGAGACAAATGTACTTGAGTTTCTTAAATACTTGAGAAAAGGAAGAAAGGAAATATCCTGTTGGTTCTGGAATTGTCAACAAAAAAAATCTAAGCTGACCTACCGTACCAACCGGTTCTCATGGAAACCCAGCTGAAGGTGGCAATCTGCTTTCTTCTGCGCCTCTAGGCTCTGAGCATGCAGAATCGGGGTGTTTTTAGCATGAGTTCTGTGTGAATGCTCAGCTGTTACCCAGAACTGTGCTCGGCTTCTCCTTTGGGGCTGATTTGTTTCACTGTCCCTTTGTTGATGTACAATTTCTTCCTTCCTTTGAGTGGTGTCCACATATAAATTGTCACCTGGTTCTACTTCCAGACCTACCTGGTGGTTCTGTGCCTTCCCCTACTCTCTCCTCATCTTCGTGTATGATGAAGTCCGAAAGCTCATCATCAGGCGACGCCCTGGCGGTAAGTGCAGACATTTTTAGTTAGGATTGGGGCTGGGGAGGGGTGCCTAGTTCTGGCTTTTGCTCTGTTTCTTTCGAAGCGTCTGGGCTCCTCCACAATCAGCCTGATTGGCTAGGTCCACGGCACGCTAACTCACTCCAGTCACAGCCCATCCTCAAGAATGGAGGTCTCAACTGAGGTTTCAGAATTGACCAAATACAACCTGAATAGGATGTGGTAGAAACTTGGTCAGAAGTCTAAACTATCTTTCCAATTAAAACACTACTCTTAAAAACACATACAGTTGAGGGCCCCATATTAAATCGGGAGGGTCCCGTATTGAATTTGGGTAAAGACCCTCCACTCTCTCCGCTCCCCATAGACTACGTTCTCCTGAGGCTCACAGTCGCTTACCTCTGTCTCTCTGCTGCCCGCAGGTTGGGTGGAGAAGGAGACCTACTACTAGACCCCCTCCTGCACGCCGTGGAGCATCATGCCACAAACTCTGCACCCACCACCCACCCCCTTTGTGTACTTCAGTCTTGGAATTCGGAATTCCACCCTGGTAGGAAAGCACCGAAGCATGTGGGGAAGCGAGCCGTCCCGGAATGAAGCATGTAGCTCTATGGGGGGGTGGGGGTGGGGGGAGGGCTGCCCGAGAAACATCCGTCTGTGGAAACGACCGTGGGGAAGGTTTTTATGTGCCTTTTTGTTTTTGTAAAATGGAAAACTCGGAAAGACTGAAAGAATACATTTTATATCTGGATTTTTACAAATAAAGATGGCTATTATAATGGAGTCCGCCTCACGCCCTCATCAGTTCTGTGGTCCAGACGTCCATGCGAGATTGGTCTGGAGCGCGGCTTCCCAGCGCATGCGCCCCGGCTGGCAGCCTCGTCTGCGTCACCTGGGGACTTGTTAGCACAGCGAAACCACGGCCGTGGAACAAGACGCTAACCAGCAATCTGTGTAATAAGTCTCCAGGTGATGCTGATTCACATTCAAGTTTCAGAACCACAGGTTGAGGGAAACTTCCTGCCCATGCGTTTATAGTCTGAGGAGACAACTCACCCCGTGGGCTGTACTGCAGGGGGTATGGCTGAAACCCTCCACTGCTGCCTCCACATCTGTTTCTTGATGAACATACCTGTCAGGAGAAAGATTTTCAGACCCTCAGAGAAGGCCCTCCACCCCTTCTCATCCTGGGCGCAGCCGCAGCTGTGGTCTCCAAGCGCCAGGACCACTCCAGCCTCAAGCGTCTCTGTACCAAGATCTAAGAAGTAGGAAGCTACCTGTACACAGCTGGTCGGAACACATGTGCACACCACCAAGTGCTTCCCTTCCACACAACTCGTTCCTAATTTAGCATCGAATAGCTCCATTTCAGAGAGTGGTTATGTGCCAGAAGGTACTTAAGAAAAAAAGTGGAAAGATTTGTATACTGCAGGGTCAAGTTCAAGTATACCTTCTGCTTTCATAAAGTTAGTGTAAAAAGACCCCTTCAAGTCCCATCACTCTTAATCCATCCTGAGTGCTGTTTACTAGCTGTACTTCAAGGCCATCCTTGCTTCAAGCAGACGCAATAAGTGGGGAGCCCTTACCTCTGGCACTAGTGATCATTATCTGCCAGGTGATGATAGTCTGGGTTCAAGTTTGTGGTTTTTCTCTGAAAAGCTTGATTCATTGCTCCTGCCTCTTGTGCTACTCACTTCTAAGCTATGCAATGGGAGAGGAATAAGTGACTCGCATGTACCAACCGGGCATCGTCCCCAGCCTCTCCCAACTGGGAAACTGGGAGGGCAGGGCGATCTGTGCCTTCCTAGACCAACATATCAGTTCTCCCCTTCTTTCTCCAGGATCATCTCTATGCCTGTGGGCGAGTCATTGTTCAAGAGCCACTTGTTCAGTCCAACATAGGGAAACTTGGGATAAAGCTAAGAACTAACAGAGCTCTCAGGGCTGGCAGACAAGTGATCACTGTGTCCTCCCTGAGAATATACAGCTTTGAGGGCAGGAATGAGGCTGCCCACGTGCTTACACCGGCAGAGACTTCCAGAGTCTTGCTGTCTCTAATCCCCATACATCTGTTTCCTGGCACCCCTGGACAGCTGACCAGTGAACATAACCCTGATGGTCATGGGTATACCCTGATAAAGGTCATGGGTATTCCCTGACTTAGAGGCATTTGAAGCAGCCTGAGACTAGACTTGGAGGTGACCACGGATAGCTTTCTGGCCGGGGCTCCTCGTGTTCTATGCAGGCCTGGACTTCCAGGAGCATGGGGAGGCAGGGGCAGAGCAACACAAGGGCTGGCCGGAACCTCCCGCCCTCTTTCCACCAGAATCTCTCTGCCCTTGTTCTGCTTGACAGTCCCTTGCATAAAAAGTTTTATAGCCAAATATTTAATCTAGAGACTTCAGATACAGGGGTGGGCAAAGCTGACATCAAAGCCAGGCCTCCTAAAGGGCCAGATCTTCCCAAGCCCCCTATAGGCAGCCCAGGCCTCGTCCTACCCAACACTTGGCCACTAACTTTAGCCCTGTCAGTAAGAGCTACAATTTGCTCCAGAAAACAGAAACGGCTCCTGAACACTGACGTCAGCTACTGTCTGCCCCTACAAATCTGCAACTGAGCCCTCCTGACCCCCAGCCACGCTCCCCCGCAATGCCTCCCAAACATCCCTGGGGTGATGCCCTCTTGACACTTCTGACGACATGCCCCTTTGGCCACGTCAATATCTGAGCTCTTGCCAGTCATTTTTTGGTGTCATTACTGTTCCTTATCTCTTTAGCTCTCACTCCTTCCTTTCATGGACAGGCTTCTAAGGAGAGTACCTATCACTTCTTCCCTCTACTGGCTCATCTGCCATCACCCCCCTGCCTCCTTCCACTGCCTCCCATTAACTCTGGCCCACCAGAATTGTTCTGGTTGAGGCTGCCACTGACCTCCTGAGTGTCAGACCCCCTGGGGACTTCTCTGCAGCATCTGTGACGCCATCGCACACCTCCTGAAACCAGCCGCCTTGTCTTTCTGACATCACCTCTTCCTCTCCTTACCTTCCTGCCCTCATCTCCACCTGCCCCCTCTGTTGTTATTTCCTCGGGGAGGTCCCCACCCCCTTTCCCACCTGTATTCTTCCTGTGTGTGTAAGTCGCTCAGTCATGTCCGACTCTTTGCGACCCCATGGACTGTAGCCTGCCAGGCTCCTCTGTCCATGGAATCCTCCAGGCAAGAATACTGGAGTGGGTTGCCATTTCCTTCTCCAGGGGTTCTTCCCGCCCCAGGGATTGTACTCAGGTATCCCGCATCACAGGCAGATTCTTTACCCCTGAGCCACCAGGGGAGCCTGAGCCCCAGACCCATAAATCCATTTTTTATCCTGGACATCTATTCAGAAAGAGCACAGTGCGCTGTGGAGTCTTAACCCTTGTGACAAACCTGAATCCGAGTGAGGTCCCTCACAATGAACATGCTCTGGGCAAAGACATCTGTCAGCCTGTGGCCACTTCAGAACCCTAGAAGTCACCTGAGGCTTCTCCCCCTGATCTTGCCGTGGCCCCGCCACCCCACCAGTCACCACCCACTGCTGGTTCCCGTGTGGTGGCTGCGAGCAGCGGCTTTGGGTCTGTACAGCCTGGAGCCAGTGGTCCTGTCACTAACTGACCGTGGGCATGGAATTTAGTCTCTTTGCGCTTCATTTACTCTAGAATAAGGGTGGTGTTTCAGAGTTGTTAAAAGGATTATGTGAGATTACACATAAAGAGATTAGCTCAGTGGCTGCTGCGTAAATCCTTTTCTCTGCTGTCACCGCCCTTCACATCTGGATGTCCTGGCTGGTCTCTACTTTCTGCCTTCTTCTAATTCAGTGGCTCTCAAAAAGGGTCATCCCTAGACCAGCATCACCTGGGAGCTTGTTAGAAAAGTGCATGCTAATTCAAGCTATTGAATCAGAAACTGATGGAGAAAGAGGGAAGAGAACAGCGGTCTGTTTTATAAGCCTTACAGGTGATTCTGATGCTTGTCTAAATCTGAGAACTATCGCTCTACACCATCTTCCAAGCTCTACTTGGCTGCCTCTCACCAGACCTGTCTTCACCCTTGACCTTAGCACATAAACCCATCTCTGCTCAGCCATCCAGATTCCTGGGCAGTCCTAATGGGCTCTACATCGCTTCTGTCAGTCTGCAGTTCCCCTTGGCATCCTCCTTCCAACGTAACCTTGGATCAACCTGCATGCTCCTGGCTAATCAACTCACCTTTCCAGGTGCCTTTCAGGCCTTTGCTCTCTCGGAAAGGTTCAGTGGCCCTTCCCTTGTTCACACCTTGCTGTAGCCCCCAGATCTCTGTTTATTGGTTTATTCCCTCACCAGGAAACTAGAGTTCCCTAGAGCAGTGAACCAGGTCACACCCTCCTTAACATCTGACACATCAGTGCTTGTTGAATGAATGAACACGTGCTTGTTACCAGATGTTTTTCCTGCTGCCTAAAACAGCCATATTTTTCACATTTCACCCTCATCTTGGGTCTGTTTTTGGATCAGAACTGACAGTCCCCATAGGAAATTCATGCTCAGGCTTGCCAGAAATCCATGAGTTAGGGCCTCTCCCCATCTCTCAAAACTCAGGCTGAAAATTAGGGATTATTAAAGATGAGTCATGGATGGAATTAGGATGGCAAGAAATGGACTGGGAGACCATGGCAAGTGACACAAGAAGATAGAGAGGAGGAGATGTACACGGAGACACTGAGACAGGCCTGCCTCAGTTCCAGAGCTTTCAAATCCCTGGGCCTCAAATAGTCTCACGAGAAACCCTTCCCACTCCCCGATTAGGTTAGAATCTCCTTTTAGGTAGTTGATTAGTACTCTGCTTCTTCCTAGAACTCACTGTTCTCACTATGTATTACTCAATTATGTAATAATGAACCTAACATCTATTTTTGCCTGTGAATCTATAAGCCCCATGAGGTCTGGGAGCTGGTCTGTTCTTTTCTGTTTTATCCCTGGTGCTCAGTTCAGCGCCTTAAAAAGAGAAGTTGGCACTTAGCACAGTGGCCAACACTCTATTTAAAGAGAAGGGCGGGTTCCGGCACAGGATGACAATGTAGGAAGATCCTGAATTCACCTCCTCCCACGGACGTGCCAAACCTACAGCCACACACGGAACATTTTCCTCCAAAAACGAAAACTTCTGAAAAACTAGCTGAGCAACTCCTCCACATCAGGCAAAGCACTTGGAAGACTTTACCCACTGTGCGATGACCCACAATCAGGGGGGTGTCTAAAACCAGAGTTTCTCCCTGGGGAGCAAAAGCACCCCTACTTTAAGACCTGCCCCTGAGAGGCACGCCGCCCCCCACCCCAAGACTTCTGGCTTTGAAAACCAATGGACCTCATGGCCACAAGACTCATAGGCTGCAGTGAACGGAGGAACAGCTCTTAAAGGGTTCCCGTGTTTGGGCTCATCCCAGAGACCAACACAAAGGGAGCCAATTGAAAGGCGCCCAGACCTTACATGAAACAGGCTTACTTGCATATCTTATAGCATCAGTCTGGGGGCAGACACCTAATTCAACATACATCTAGGGCCTGCAGGGTTCTTTCCAGGGATGAAGCCTACTGTCAGACACCATCAAGCACTCCCCCTTGCCCCCAGCTTGTCAGGACCTCCTAGGAAGGAGCTTGTACCCCCTTATGACAACCTGATTTTTGTCGCTGTCACTCAAGGGACATCTTGAGATCACCCGGCTCTAGTGCCCACCAAGGCTTTATGCTCAAGGGTCACAAAACTGTAACCAA